AGGGGACAGGGAGCAGAGGGGTTTAGATGGGTCGGGAGTTCTGGGGGTGGGGAGTGGTTGGATGGGGCGTGGGAGTCCCAGGGGTCTGTCTGGGGGTGGGGGGGTGGATAAGGGTTGGGGCAGTCAGGGTACAGGTAGGGGGTAGGGTCCTAGGGGGCCAGTTAGGATGGGGGGAGGGTCTCAGGAGGGGGCAGTCAGGGGACAAGAGGCAGGGAGGCTTAGGTAGGGGGTGGAGTCCTGGGGGGCAGTTAGGGGCAGGGGTCCCAGGAGGGGGCAGTCAGGGGACAAGGAACGGGAGGAGGGTTGGGGGTTCTGAGGGGGGCGGGAAGTGGGAGGGGCAGGGGCGGGGCTAGGGCGGGGCTCCTCCCATCCTCTTTTTTGCTTGCTGAAATATGGTAACCCTATCTGACTAGGAATTATTCTGGGGAAGTTCTGTTGCCTGCATTATACAGGTCAGACTATGATCACAGCAGTCCCTCCTGGCCTTGGAATCTATAGCATTTCCTGACTCACTGAGCTGGAACGTGAGAGGCAGGGGAGAGTGGGGTGACTGCAGGGCTGAGAGCTCTGGCAGGGCGTGGTTGGTCACTCCCTCCCCTCACCAGGAAAGAAGGAACATTTCACATAACAAGATGACTGCTGAGTTATTGTTCCCCAGCGTGGCCACAATGAGCAGACAGGAGCTTGGGTTTGTAGGAAAAGGAGATCTGATCCCCAAAGGGATCCAGTGGGAGATTCTCTGACACCATTGGAACACAGCTAACCTGCATTAACCACAAGTCAGCAACAGCTCTGGGGATCTGGCTGCATGAGCCAGCCAGGACTGGGCCTAATGTGATAGCCACTCCAGTCCAGAGGGCTCTTCTGGGGCAAGTCACCACAGGGATTTTGACTCCTAGTTCACCTGCCAATTTCCATCTGCCTGCTGTGATTGGGGTAACCCCACTCCCAGTTCAGTGCATCCCTGCATTGCTGGTTTAGAAAGTGACACTAGTGACCATCAGCTGGGGGAGGTTTGCACAAGGCCACTCTCCTGACGTTGCTGGGATCAACAAATTATGTTACAGGCAGAGTTCAGTGGCAACGGATCTGTGGGGCACAGAGGAGGTGTTAATCTGCCCATCCCACAGCCTGAGCTTTCTCCCCATGGCGAGGGTGTCCATACCTGTGAGATACATCTCCTCCCCTTCCGTGAACATCTGGTGGCAGCGGACGCATCTGGCACAGGTTGGGTGGTAGTGCTTTCCTCCTGCCTACAAACAAGCAGAGGAAAATGGTTCCTAAGCAAGCAGAAAATGCAGATCCACTTTTGCCTCCATTCCTCTGAGCGGGAGCTGCCCAGTTCCCTCCACACTCCTTCTGCTTGCAGTGCAAAACACAAAGCAAGATGAAAGAGCCTAGCAAAGGAGAGCTGGGGCCCCAACAAGGAACCACAGATGGCAGACCAGCCCTAGACACACTAGGACACTAATATCTTTGCCATGGTGCATGAAGAGAACCCATGTCCAGGGTCCCATTTCTCTCAAGCAAACTGAGTGCAAGGTGGATGTACAATGTTACAAGCTCCGCCTTTCACACTCACCTGGCAGTGGGCAAATGACTATCCAAAGTGCAGGGCAGCAGAGAATTAGGCCCAGGCAGCCCCAAACCAGTGAACTGGGGACCAAATCCTGCAAACTTTGACTCCCAGAAGCACACCTCAAAGTCAACAGTATTACTTATGTGAGTAAGGACTTACAGGATCAATTTCTGCATTTGCTTTCAGAAGGATTCTGTAGCTGTAGCTCAGAAATGTCCCATTGTTCAGCTATGGAGACATATTTTTCACCAGTTCCCACCCCAAGCATCTCCACTGGAGTTGGACAGGGTGCCCACTTTGGCCCAGGGAGGGGGTCACAGTTGTGAAATATCATAGCAGTGGCATAGGCTTCTGTTTGGCAAACTGGGATTTTTACCATCTTGGGAGAGGGAGAGACACACCCACAACAGTACAAGGGGCTCACTAGGTTTCATTTTGCAGCCCATTCCAATGGAGTGAAAGCCAAAATGATTCCTGCTTTATTTTTTTTCCAGCCCTGATTTCTTGGGACTCTCTAGAAACTTTTCTGCTGCCTTCAGTGCAAATGATGCCCAAACTTTAGAAATAACAACCTGCTATTTTCCCAGTTGTGATGTGGCTGGTCTGTTCTCCCTGCACTCTGACAAGGATAATAGGTTTAATTGGTAGCTTGCTTCCACTCAAAATGTCTGCAAGAATTTCAATTATAGACTCATTTGCTGGGCTTCCAAGCTCAAAGGCAGCAGTTGGCTCTGGGCTGTACTGAAACCTGGTCTGTACTGTATACAGCGTAACCCCCAAGGGACATTTTACGATAATATCAGAAGGGAGAAGGACTAGTAAGGCTGGTAAGGGAATGAAAGAAGAAAGAAGGGCTGTTGTAACTTACTGTATCTAACTTAACTGTTTCTCTTGTATCAGGAAACAATGAGGAGAATGGGATAATTTGCTAAGAGGGATCACTGACTCCATCATGAGAAAGGTTCTTACTAGATTATCTGTGGGGCACTGATAGACAGAGCTTTTCACCATCCTAGTCTTGGCTTCAGCAGCAGGTGTCAACATCACAGAACGCTCCCACCTGACTGGCATTAACTGTCTGTTTCTGGTTGGCAGCTTCATCAGACAGGCCCAGGAGCAAATGGGCCAGGGAGACTGAACTCCCCTCACCAGGTACATTGGCAGGGTCAGTGTGTGAGGGAAGCTCACTCTGCTGCTACCCATGCAGTCCAGGTTTTGTAGACAAGCAGAGGAGCTCAGGGGCTCGGGCTTCAAACCCAGCATCCATACTTCACTAGTGCCAAATTCACTTCCAAAAGAAAGGACGAAAGTCAGAAAAGCCACTTGTGGCACTAGCTGTGGAGGAGGCTCTGACGCTAGTACAGAGGCAGAAGAACGAAGGGCCAAATCCAGTTCTCACTAAAGTCCAGAGGACTTTCCATTGCCTTCACTGAGGGCTGGATCTGTCTCCAAATGAACAAGAACAAGTGGAGCGGTCTCCACTGTCCAGAATGCTTTCGGACCATATCTTTCTTTTAAAAACATTGTATATTTTAAATAATCTGTTCAATTGTTTCAAGATTATGCAAATCCTAAACCTGCCCTGCCACTAAAAGTCCAGAACACCCCCTCTCCCCCTTGGATTTGTCAGGAGCCCACTCTGTATTTCCCATTGTTCAGAAAGCCTTGGCTATTTTTATTCTTTGGCTTTGGGGAGGTGTACACCGTGACTGGAATAGCAAGGGTTACTGCAGGTCAGGTCAATACTGAGCTGTATTGGCTGAGCTGTGTGGAGACACAGGCCTTAAATAGGATGGGGCGCTGCCGGTCAGCACTGAGATGTACTCTGCTCTGCACAGCCCAGCTAGTGTACCGCAATTCAGGCCTATCTTCCCCTCTAATCACAAGCTCTGAAACAAACATCCACAATTTAAAACTCAACAGTCCCTCTGCAAGGAGAAGTGATTACACTTCAAAGCAGAATGCAACAATCTTGTTTATTTTGTATTGATTAAAATTACAGCCATTGTAAAAGCCTGCTGGAAGCTGTGAGTAAAGAGAGCAACTCATTATTACTTGGGGTCCCTTAAAGATTCATTAATCATTCAAGGCTGACTGCACAACTCACAGTCATTTGGAACACCCAGAGGGTCATGGGATAGCACAAGAAAGCTCATTACGGCCTAAAATTATTTAAAGGAGCCTCTTCTATTTTGAGCTCTGCCAGACAAGACAATGAAGGCCTATTGCTTTAAGGAAAATAATTCATCTCGAACTCTTGGGCATCCCACCCTAGCCTAGTGACTGGTTCGTGATTGGCATTGGCTGGCCAGAGGTGCAGAAGGAGCCCTCTTCTGGGCAATGCAAGAGCAGAAGAGACATGGGAGAAAGATGAGGGGTCACTCACATTTTGGCCATGACTGAGCAGAGACTGTGAAGTGACACTGCACTGGCTTTCTGGAAAGATAGGTCAAGTAATGCCCAAGGAGCTCTCTGCGTCTCCATCCCTCTGCAGCCTTCACTGCACAGCACATCCCATCCACTCCCCATGCCCTGTTTCCCTCAGCTCCATTCCAATAGCTGGATGAAAGTCAGCAACAGAGTCTGCCCAGAGGTACCCCAGAGCCCAGCTGATTTATTTCCAGCCCACTTGGTCACTGTTGCACAGTTCCCTTGCCTGGGCACAGGGAATCCCACCTGCCAGTCGCAGCAGAGATCTTGAATAACGGGTCATGGCTGATGTTCAGAATGCTGCACAGACATGAACCAATTCTTCCCCACAGCGGGCCATGAAAGGATCATTATCCCCCCATCGCAGGTGGGGAGGCTGAGGCAGGAACCAAGGACGGAGGTGGATGTGAACAGTGGTGTCAGTTACAAGCTGGTGAGGTGGTGTAACGTGGACACAGAGGAGGCAGAAGAGCAAGGCAGCAGCATGAAGAACAGCCCCAGGATGGGGTAAGAAGGTGGAAGGCAAAGCAGCTCCTCACACTCTATATTCCCCCCTAGTGGTCACTCTCTGGTACAGCTCTGCCCTTCTGCTCCCCAAGCACGTGCACACTGACCTCTGATGGAATGGATCCAAAGAGGTGAGGTGATTTGGCTGAGGTCCCAAAGGCAGTCAGTGTCAGAGCCAGGAGGAGCGCTCAAGAATGCACAGCACCCAGGTTTCAGCTTCAGCCATAGTCCCCTGAAGGGGGTGGGGAAGGGGCTGGATGGCCCAGGGGGCTTGGTACCAGGGTCCAGAGACTTTTGCCTCAAAGTCACTGCTTTGGAGCCAGTCCAGGTCAGTAGGGACCAAAAGCAGCTATCATCTCATGGCTCTTTGGTGGCTCCTGCACAGAATGAGGGAGAGAGGCCTCAGCCCGGCTACCACCACAGCTGCTGGCTGGCTCAGCAGGGAAGCCCCGGCGACGGTACCCTGCTCCCTCCAGGGCAGCAATGAGGCACACTCCCCGGCAGCTGTCCATACAGTGCCCATCATGGGGGTACACACAGGACCCCACTCTCCAGGACACTAAATTCACTTGAAAAATGTCTTTCAAAAAATAGCCAAGTTGAGTGAGAGCCGCAGCCAGCAGGATCACTCTGCTAGCACCTCTGGATTTCAGGCCCCCCTCGTGTCCCTGAGGGTGTCGGAGTTAGAAGAGTCCTCCATGCCTTCTGCCTAGGACTAACCTGGCATGGGAACCATGAGGAGTCCAAGACACCTCCTTTGCAATGCCCTCCCTGACGAACAGCACTTGGAATGAGCTCCATTAAAGGGACAGAGTGAGCTACTAAAGAATCACACCTAAAGCCCTGCTGGGATGCAGAAACCAGCCAGGTCCTTTGTGCTGAATCCCTGCTAAAAGAACAATACAATGCGGCTTGGGCTCGCTAATACCATTCACATAAACCCCTGCTCCTCCTCCAGACTGGCCTGTCTCCCTTGGGTGCTTGCACCTCACCGCTGGCTCATTCCACCAGCCTAAAGGGTGTGGCTAGTGGGCCTGCTGCTTCCCCTTGCAGACAGCTCTGCACCTCTGCCAAGCCTTTCCCCTGCTAGGGCACAGCCACATGACTAGCAGCCGTGTTGGATGTGTTGCCATGGCAACTGGTAGGGGGAGTGGAGTCTGGCTACAATCAGGCTCCTAGGTGACTGTATTGAGAGAAGCATCTGAAAAATGTGCCAGTGTCACCAGGAGAGCAGGGGCAGTAACCGATGGTTATCATGGGTGCTCAGCGATGCCCATGCTATCCCTGGGAGATCAGACATGTGCTGGCAAAGTCCCTGGCCTCCAGTAGCAGGGGAACGTGGCTAGGATTGAGGAAGGAGGGGTCCCTTTGAAGAGGCACTGAATTCCAGCTCAGGTGCTGGGGCAAGGCACTCTGTAGACAAATACCACATTGCCTCTGCCCATCCATCCATCCCCGGTGCTCAGATATGGGGTCGGGCATGGTGCCAAATTAGAACCCACACAGATCTCTAGGAAAACACCTATTAGGCACCCACGCTACATACACATGCTGGCACCTGCCATCTGGGAGGACTGAACCAGGGGATCCTCCTTCACCCTGCCACTTGTGCTAAAGGAATAACTTCCTCAGCTTCGAGTAAGTAGCAGGCTCTTGTACGTACCTATCACCTGGGCCACATCAGCCAGCCATATCTATTACCACAGTCACCTGTACCACCTTGCTACTGCCCTGCAAAGTGGTGCTGCTGCTTCTGCGGCTAGACTCCAATTCCAGAGGACAGTGCTGCTCTGTCCCACCCCAATCCCTGGGAGCCAGCCATTTCTGCACTCAGGATACCAAGGTCAGTCAGCGTCCAGACCTCCATATTATAGAGGAGGAAACTGCAGCCCAGCAACGGCAAAGGGCTCACCCCCAGGTGCACAGGGAATCAGTGGCAGAACCAGGAATGGAAGTGAGGACCCGCAGTGCCCTGCTCTAGCCCATAGATCACACTACCTTTCAGTCATTTGCATCACCCGAGTGTGACCGGAGGGGCCGTGGTTTGCAGAGAGTGTGATTTAGGGAACACCCAGTTAAAATGGCTCATGACAGTGCTTAGGTCACTGACAAAACTCTCAGGGGGTCCCCTTTGCAAAGGGCTGGCTAGATGGTTCCTCTGCACCGTGGGTGGGATTCACTCGCCCAGCCCTCTGCTGCTGGAAGGAAGCTAGCAGTCTTCTGCCTGCCCCAACTCACCTCCAAGACCCTGCCACTGATGTACCGGTCACAGGTCTCACACTTAATGCCGAACTGGGCATGGTAGTCAGATTCGCAGTATGGAACGCCGTCCCTTTGGAGGAGAGAGGGAGACAGGAAGTGAGAGGAGGGTGAGGGCACGGGGCAACTGAGAGACACCCCCCCACGTGATACGTGGCTTTCACTGCATCAAATGGCTCAACTGAGATGTGGCCTGTATTAGAACGACCTCCCCAGAGGGGTGTTTGCTGGGAGGCTCTTCTGCTGTCAAGGGAGCAAGCAAGTGACCATTGGAAGGTTGGTGATGAAGCAAGAGGGCAGCTTCTTCAGTCGTCACCCCTCCTACC